GGATTTGGCACCAAAACATACCGCGAGTAGAACCTCAATGAGTGTAGCATCTAGTATCAACCAACCTTGGAATGTACCAAAGCCAGCCATCTCGCTACCTTCTAATGGCCAAGATGGGTCAATTAAGGTTCTAAAAGTCCAATTAGTGCTATTGACACCACGTAGAAGCCTAATGTTATCCTCGACTTACTCAAGGAACATTAGTACAATCCAAAAGGCCGCACTAACCATAGCAATCACTTCAACCATATCGGTCTACGCCGTACAATTTCCATGATCTATTGCTACTTACCTAAGATACCCTAGATCCGGGTATAGGATCTTGCAAGAAAATAAACCGAAGCAACCCTTTAAAGTAAAGCAAACAATTCAGACAATTAAATTAAATAAAAGTTATCCAGGCTCTAGGGTAACCCCTCTTTTTAAGTAGTACTCCCCAGTAGAGTCACCAGTTCTGTAATACGGTGGGAGAACTGACTTTTGCATTTTATCGCAAATATGCGGATAGCTAGAGTCGTCATCAACTTTTATTTTATCCAATAAGAAAAGGATGAAAATAACGGGAAAGACCTTGATGATTTTGAGTTCGGGGGGTAAATTATAAAAAGGGAAGGTATTAGCACCCTTTTCATCTGTAGTTATCTACGGGCTCATAATGGTTAGCTCACTTTTGAAAATTGCTTTTTTGTGTAAGTGTTTTCAAATATTTTGAAAAATCCAAAGTACGGTTGTCTTTGTAATGGTTCTTGTATCAGTCCCCAAGAATGCGTACAAAGTGTTTTAGAAAATATTTTTGAAAATGATGTATGAAAATGTTTTTAGAAAATGTTGTGAGCGAGTGATTAACAGTCTTACCCACTCAAGGTTGTTCTTATTATTTTCCTTCTCCTTTAGAGATAGTGCTATTTGTACCATTAGTTGGTAGGTAGCCCTATCTATTGGATGTGAAGGGACAATCTAGGGTCATCATATGGTCATCGAAGACAACTAATAAGGATACTTTAGCAATTTATCGGAGTGACTAGATCATTTGTTCGTAGGAAACATCAAAGGGTCATCGAGGGACTATGATATTTTATTCAGAGCGACTTCGCTAAAGTATCCCTATTTTCGAGAGACATGACCATGTTCCGAAAGGAAACGAAGAGAGGTTACCCTAGAGGTGTAAGTGTGAAAGTGTGTTTGCTTCAATTATTTATCTTAAATTAGGGTTTTATATCGATTGATTTCCGTCTTACCATACAAACCCTAGTTACTAGAAATTTCATAAAAGACTAAGAGCAGAATGTAAAGTGTGGAATGTAAACCTAAAACTATTACAAGGCTTTGGGGCAGTTACATAAGAATGAAAGATGCGAGAAATAAAACCTTAAAACTATTACATACTCGAAGCAGTTATGTAATAGAAAAAATATGGGAAAAGTAAATCTAAATTATTACATTATAACGCGCCCTATACACTTGATCTGGGAATGTAAATAAATGAGAAAATAAAATAGAAAAAAACAAAAGAAGAAGTTTGAATGTTTGTTAGGGTTTTTTATGAAAAATTATCTAAGTTGATAATTAATTAAACAAAACCTAAAATTCTAATTAATTAAAAAAAGGTTAATTACTTAATTAAAAAAAAGGTTGATTAAAAAAATTAAACCTAAGTAATTAGGATTTTTAAAAAAGGTTTGTTTTAGATTAATGAAAACAAATTAGGTTAACGAAAAAATAAGATTAGGGGAAGAAAAATCAAGAAAAAACAAGGTTAGAAACCAAAATAAGAAAAAATGTCAGGGGTGGGTGTTAAACCCACGCCCTCAAGCCTCTGGCTTGCATCGTTTTCCACTAATCCATGCATTGGTTGGTGTTTGTAGACTGAGCACTACATAAAATATAATAAACCTGTGAAAATTGGAAAATATAGAACAAAGTTGCAAAAGGAAGTGATCAAACCCATGCCCTTAGAGACTAATGCCTTAACATGCATGCGCCTTGCCACTGGGGAGGCTGTTACATCTGGTAGTGTTAGGAAAACAAATAAATATAAAATAAAACAAATGACTAGGCCAGAGAGGCGCCAGAGCCCTGGCTCCAGTCGTCTTCTCAGGCGACCTGATTCCTTGCACCTGCAAAATAAGCACGCTTCAGTGACCAAAGGGATTGTACCCCCCTAATTTAACCCTTGCAAGTTCAATGGTGGCCCTGGTTTTCACTAATTCTCCTTGTATAGAGAAATACAAAGCAAACGATGTAAATAGGTGTAACAATGGCAATCCATCATCTTGTCATTATAGGACTCATGCGATGGGTTAAACCTGCACAGTTCTACTTAAGAAGCATATTAGTATTGTTAGTATGAAGTAAAGCACGATAGAAATCAGAATACAAATTTACAAAAAATATGGCAATACGAGATGCATGGGATGCTTGTTCCATGCATTTTTGATCACCAAGAACAATTCATACTTACTCTATGAGACTTCTGGAATTGATTGGGACAGTTAGCTTGCTTTGAGAAAGGCTAAAAATAGGGTTTGAAGTTTGCGCTGGTTTGACAAATTTTTTGAGATTTGGAAAGTGTTTTTCTTGCAAGGTTTTTTTCTCTCTTGTCTAAAGATGAAGTGTATATATAGGAGAAGATTAGGTCAAGAAAAATGGGCTTGGACCTCTTTGTAAAAAACTTTTATTTTGTTTGAAAAATAGATAAAAATCTTGCAAAACATGAAGATTTGTTTCACAAAATAATTCCACACAGTTATTGTATGATCTTGGGCTCCCAAACAAATCAAATCTTAAGCCTTTTATGCTTTATCCATTATTTTATTTGATTTAATTTTGAATTTAATTGAATAAAATAAAAATAAATAAAATAAAATAATTAAAAGGGTGTATGAAGAGATTTAGAGGTCCATTATGAGGTCAAGAACACGTTTGGACTCTAAAACATAAGCCCATTAGCCCAAAAATTCAAGTTTGTTCAATTTGTGTTTCATGCATTTTCTCAAAATCGCCCAACTTGTACAACCTGTGACTTGCTCAATTTTTATCATATGAAGGTGATCTTAGACTTTTTGAAAGCTCAAGATATCACCTACAACTCTCATGTTGATCATTTTTCCATTTGAAGACTTTATCTTAATTTAAATTGCTTTGATAAAAAGTGTCTTTTTATTGACTTTTAAAATGGCCTATAATGTTTTAGTCCATATCTCTCAAATGAAGCATTTTTGGCCTTGATCTTAGAGAGACAAAGTTGTAGAGGGTTGAATTTTCTTTAAAATGAGATTTGGTTGAGAATTTTCTGATGAAGCATGTGAAACTTATTTTTAGTCAATGTTCAGTTGACTTCTCCTAAAGAAAACCCTAATTTAGCAACTTTTGACTTTTGATGAATCTTGAGTTTTCTTGATGAGTTATGATCAACCCTTGATCAAATGGTGAATGTAACTTCAAAATATTGATGTTGACCAAAAATCTTGAAGTTTGATTGTATATTGACCATAATTGACTTTTTACTTAATATAGTTGATTTTCAATCATTTGAACAATTGACTGAGCAAATTCGTGATGTAATGCTTGAAATTTGACATGAGGATACCTTGATACATATTATAAACCATGAAGTCCAATTGAGGCATTAGAAGTCCAATTTTCTATGAGAAAACCAAAACCCTAATCATAGGCCACTGCTTAGGAGGAGGATTATCTGATCATTCTTGAATAGTCTTGAACACTTGATAACCTTAGGAGCATGAGAATTTATTTTGAGAATGAGAGGGAAAACTTTAGAGTACAACACCATTGGTCTCCATTTCTTTGGAAGACTTCTGATAATCTTCTTTGCATGATCTGTTATTGTATAAATTTTGTCTAGAACCTTGAGTTCTGCTACTAATATTTGAAATCTTGAGAACATAGTTTCAATAGTTTCATCTTCTTCCATTTTGAAGACTTCATATTTTTGGAATAAAGCTAACAATTTAGTTTCTAATAAGATTTTTCTTTTAAAATATTTTGTAAACTAACTAGAAATAATAAAGCTAATGAAACAATAAAAAGAATCTTTTGATTTATACAAGTTTAACTTCAACAAAGCTACTCTTGTCCACCCACCAATGTGATTTTTCCATCAACAAAGACTTAATACACTAATCTCAATATGTTACAAATGCACTGGCTACCCGCCAGTGACTAACTATAACCATCTAAGAGTCCAACTGACACCTTATCCCTCTCAAGTATTATACTAACAACCTAGTCACTTGAGGCAATAATCAATTCTTAACAGAATTATAATCATCTGCCTTTATAATGTTTGCTTCTAAAAAGCATATTAACACAACAATGAAGAACAAAGTCTCTAATACAAATAATGAGCAACAACTCTTTGTATTGAGAACTCTAATATAAAACACAAATAATGAGCAACAACTCTTTATGTTTAATCCCTAGTATCTTAACATAATAACGATCAACAACTCTTGTGTTCTTGATATTTCTCTAGAAGAATATTTATGAATGTATATGAATAATGATTCTTCTTTTCTCTTGATGTTTCTGTATTTCAACAATTTGATTCAAGCTTGATAATGTGGAATGATTCGTCAATCTTCAAATGTTGATGAGGTTTCTTTGATAAAGCTTAAATCAACATTATCAAACGTCTACGTACTATGAGGTTTCTAATCATGAATTCTTTCTCTCAGATTTCTGAGATTGGTGCTTCTCTGAGAATGAGCATTTAACATTCCTTAGAATTGTTAATGTTTCTTTAGAAAAAGTCACAATAGTTCTTATGTTGAGTAGATTGGCTTGAGAGGATGTCTTCCTTTTATCTTGTCTTCTTATGGATAATATGATGTTGATTTGAAGTGAGTCTAAAAGATCTTTCTTTCATCCTTTCTTCTGATGGAATACTTCTGATGTTGAGTTGAAGTGTGTATTCCATAAACTATCTGAGTCTTCAGAATCTTGACTTTATCTTCAGAAATATAAACAGCAGCTTTCTGATGAGCAAATCTCGACTTCTGACCTTTGCGTTAAAGCTTGTTTCTTGTACACTCTTGATTTTTGATCTTGAAGCAGCAACTTATTATAAATTCTTTCTTCTCGTGACTTGTGACTTCCAAGGCAGCAACTTGTTGAGAAGTACACATATGATCCTCTTTTTGGCGCTCATTAAACATTCTTCTGAACTGTTGATGTTTCTTCAGAAGTGGACAACCTTTCTGATGTGCCTGGGTATTTCTGATTCTCCAGACAACAGTCCTGAATCAATTAGAATTTCTTATATACATACTCAATGAAACCATTAGAACTAAAATTATTCTTCATAAAATATATGCATTATTATCATCATAACACAGAGATTTAAATGCTGATTCAAATCTTGTTCTAACAAGTTCAACCATGAGCATCATCACAATACAACCACACATATCAACAAAACTCTAAAACTCTAAATTCATAAATCCTAACTTTTAAGTATCAACATAGATATCGAAAGAGAGAGCATGAGAACATACCATCTTCGCCGCTGTCGGAATTTGCACCGAACATTGCTCCTTGTTACATTTGTGCTTGAAAGTGAGGCTGTAGAAAGTGAGACTGCAGAAACAAGTAATTTTCATCCTTGACAATATTTGGGACATTCACTTTTGTGCTGCTTGTTGCAAGAGAAAGGATAACTTTTAACTGCAGTTTTAGAGAATCCTTTAGAGAGATGATACGTTAGAATTTTCTTTAGAGAGAAACGGCTGATAAGAAATGGGCGATGTTTATATATATATATATATATATATATATATATATATATATATATATATATATATATATATATATATATATATATATATATATATATATATATATATATATATATATATATATATATATATATATATATATATATATATATATATATATATATTACTTTTCTTCACGGTTGACAAGACTAATCGTAATGGTATAGTATTCAAAGACAAAATAGATCACAACAGTTGGACATAAAAACCGTTGTAATATCTTTTTTTTCTTTGTTATAAATAAATAAAAAAGAAACGGCGCACCATAATGTTAAATGAATAAATATTTTTGAGAACATTGAGGTTTGAACCCATAAAAGCTCGAATGTATCACCACGATCCAATCATCCATCATTATTATATCCTAAATAACTTTAATTAAAAAATAAAAAAAAAATATTAGCGTCTGATTTTAGAGATACCACCCTGATATTTAGAAGAACCGTGGTGACTTGAGCGTTGTTTGCACGTTTTATAATAGTGATATGTGTTCTCTACCAAAGTGTGTCGGCAACATGGCTAAAATGATGCTTGGATCCTAATATTGTTGGTAATGCATTAAAGAATCAAGGACAAGTAGGTTATGCGAGTTTGGTGTGAAACTTAGATGACTAATTTTAGTTTGATTATATATTAGTGTGAGCATATCAAACATTTAAATGCAGAGAAGTATCTTTTTATCAAAATATATCTTTCTTTTTTTTACTTTTCTTTCTTTCTCTCATTAATAATAGAAAAGGTGGTCTTACTCCTTTAATTTGAATTGACTAGAATATATGATACTACGAATGTTGGCATGATTAAAGAGAAAATCGGGCAGGGTGGGTGGAAAAAGTGGTGGATTATACTCAGTATGTCTGCTTGACTTACTATTGGATTTAGATGAGTAAGTGGAAGCATCCAATTCATTTTTCAAATGATATATTTTAATCCATCATACCTAAATGCAATGTATACATCAATTTTCGAGTGAAAAGAGATTGAATGGAATCATGCAAATATTTTGTCGTGATTGTATGTTGATTCAACCAGCATATGTATATTTGTAAAAAGTGTTGTAGTGGGTGGAAAATGGAGTGGAAAGGTAAAACTCCTAATAATCATATCCCCCAATTGGCTCATGGTATCAAACAAAATAAATATAGAACAAATATTGCCTAAACTAATAGTATGCTTTACCCTAATTTGTTACATGAAGAAATTTGGAGACACCATAGTGGAAATAAGCCAATGTCAAAACCTTTAAAGTTTTAGAATAGTTTGTAGCATAACATAGATTTGATTTTAGATAGATTATGATTCTTTTTTAAAGTCTGATATAACATGTTAATATATCTTAACTTTTATTACATACAACAATTAGATCAATATTTAAATTGATTAACAAACTAAAGAAAACCAATTAAATTAAATTCTTTTTTAATATTTAACTAGAAATTTAGATAAAGAAAAATTTTAGTCAACAAAGTAATAAAAATAAATAAACACACCTTTAGATAAAGAAAAATTTTAGTCAACAAACTAATAAGAATTAACAAACATACCTTATGTGAGTATCTCCCTTCTCTTCTTTTCATTAAAAAAATTCATCTTTCTTTTTCACTAAACCTAATATACTCTTACTAATATTTGATTATGAGACATAATGTAATACTTGTAATAGCAAAAAGTGTATTTATAAATCTTCTATATAAATGAGATTATATTGTGTCTTCAGACGGCTAAATTAAAAATCTGATTAAGGGGGTTTTATTTTTAAACAGACTGATCCATTACATTTATGTTAAGGTCTATTCTTTTCAAATAATAGAAAGGATGGTGCGTTTTGAAGGGCCCAATAGCTGAATAGAATTGGTTCAGTTCAAACTGTTTTTGGAAAGTCTGTATTTCTTTTAATTAATCATTATTTAGTAATGTTACCTACTTATATTGTTATTTTAGATTTTATTAATTGTTGTTGTGTTTAGTTAAAATTAATTGTCAGTTTAGAGGATATTATTAAAACATTATTGTTATTTATTAACTATAATTGTTTTTTGTTCATTTTTTTTAAATACGTTGATTGAGGTCAACCAAATCCAATTAGGGATTTTTCTCTGACACCCTAAACGTTACTCAGCGGCACCTCTTTCTCTAGACTAAGTAAACCAAGCCCACAAAGTCCATTGTTCAGATCTAAACAAAAAAAAACGCATATTTTATGAATCAAATCAACTAAAATTCACCGTATCAATTACAAATCAAATTATATCAATTTATACATAATAAAATCTTTACTTGACAAATCATCCAAAAAATCTTACAAACTGAATCAGATATAGAATCAATTACAACAAATAAAATCTTCTAATTCCCAAGAGAATCAATCTATCCTAAGTCAATTATAAATTGTAACGATAATTATAAACAAAAACTTCCTAATCTATCTCTAACCTAAGACTACTTAAACCATATATTCTAAGACCTAAAGAAGGGGGGGGGGGGGAGAAATTGAGATGAACGAGTTGACAGAGAAAGAAGAAGAATAAGAGAAGTTTAGGGCTTCAATATCTAAAATCTTAAAGTTCTTCGTCGTGCCGCTGCTACACTGCCATCCACCTTCATACCTGTCAAACAGAAACAAAGGAGAATGAGATTAGAAGGAGAAGCAGAAAACAAGAAAGGAAAAATTATACGACCAAAATCGCAAGGAGAGGTAAGCCTTAAACACTTAACTCTTAGGGTTTGATTGCAGGTTGATTGATGTAAAATGTATGATTGGGATTTAATTTGGGGTTTCTGGGGTTTTTAGGGTTAGGTTAGGGTTATGGTTCTTAGGTTTGGGGTTAGGGTTCTTTTGGTTAGGGTTAGGGTTCATTGTTGTTGTGTTTCTGGGTTTTGAATTGGTTAGGGTTCATCATGAACCCTTAGGGTTATTAGGGTTCATAGAACCCAGATGAAGATCCACGGTGGTGGTCTATGAATGTTTGAAGTTTCCGGTTGAATGTCAACCAGAAAACTGAGATAAAGGGTGGTTTGTGGTGGCCTACAGCCGTGACCGTCGGTTGTATAATTTCTGGCGTGGCGGAATTCTAGAGAGAAGGCAGAGCCTCTCTCTCTCTCTAGAAATAACAAGAGAATTTTGTTGTTTGGCGTAGAGAGAGAAAGAAAAGGAAAAATGGGCTCTCAGCCAGTAATGTGTTTTTACAAACCTCGTTGATCATGTGCTAGCACAACCACACACTCTTATCATACACCTTTGCTATGCATCTTCAGATTACAATCCGACGCTCCATAAATGCGTGACCACCACAACTCCGTGATATCTCTCACACCTTGCCTAGAGGATCCCATATTGTTCTGGGCCTAAGCCCATGATATTCACGCCACCCTGTTTTTTTTTGTTTTTGGTATGCCAACACAATTTTCACCCCCATGCACCACTGGGCCCAGTTCAATATTTGAACTTGGACCCCTTGTTGAACAAACTCCCACTTTTACTGCCCTGTACAATTATTCACTCCCTCCTGCGTATAGGCCTGAATTCAACATCTGAATTCAAATTCAACATCTGAATTCAGGGTCCTACTTTCCACACACCCTGATTTACTTAGCTCAAACAAAATATATCCCCTGCATTTTATTAATTAATTATTTTTTTAATTATTTTTTTTATACTTTAGTTATTTTTATATAATAAATTTCAAAATATTCACTATTATTATAAAAATCAAATATTTATTTTTCTAATCCATCCATATTTTTTTATTGCACTAAAAATCATTTTTGTCATGCATTAAAAAGATTTTTATATATTAATACATTTAAAAAATACTTAACCAACATCATTTTTTTTATATATAATTTAATTAAATCCAAGATAATTTTTAAAAAGGGTTATGAAGATACTTTAAATCGACTGTGAACTTTGTCTAACAATTTTGCTATTCACACACCCAGACTTAGTACAAGGAAAATTCAAAACATCTTCGTAATCCAAAAAAAACACCAATCAACTACGAACTACGAATTGAGACTCTGATTCCTCATAAGAGGATACATAGGAATACAACTTAAAAATTATGTTATGGCGAGTTTCCCTTAAAAAATTAACATCCTATTTCCTAAGCCGTAATTCTAAACCCCAATATCCTTGTGAACAAGGTAGATGAGGGGTGCCTAACACCTTCCCTTCGTCTAAGAACGAGTCCAATAACTTAGAATCTCTAACCAAATCAAGGTTATCCTTTATATTCCCTTCTCAAAGGTAAAAATTAAGGATGGTGACTCTCAATTTCAAACCGGTTACAACAATTATTTAATTGATTAATTTAGTGTGATTATATGAGTTAGTGTGAAGTGTTTGATGTCTTAATGATTATATGTGATCCTTTATAGTGATTTGTGATATTATGATGAATATGAAGTGTACCATGATGATTGAGATAAATATGATGTTTGAATATGATGTTTGGATGAATATGATGTATGATGGGTTGCTATGTGTAGCATAGTGGGGATTAGACTAATTAAGAGGATTATTAGTATTTTGGAATAATTAGAATAATTGTTTAGAATTATTTTAATTAGGAAAAATAGAATAATATAAGTGTAGAGAAAATAAAGGCAAGATGGTAATTAGTGGAGAATAAGTAAGGACAAGGTGGGAAGTTTAATATTAGGGGTCTAAAGGTTATACAAGGAATTAGGGGAAAAGAAAGTCATTGTGGAACGATCATAGAATTGAGAGAAAGAAACTGACGCCGTGGAGAAAGAAAGCTAGGACACAGAGAGGCAAGAG